TTTTGATGGATGAGCGAGTGAGGTTAGTGTGACGTCACTTTGATCATTTTTCTGTTATTTCACAGCGCGTTATCCGCTTGGTCTGTTCCTGCTTCAGTATTTGTATGTTCAGTATTTATACGTTCCGCAATTGTATGACATTGTTCAGTACTTATGTGTTCCAGAATTTGTTTGTTCCGCATTTGTATGTTCCAGTATTTGCATAATCCGCATTTGTATGTTCCTGAATTTGTATGTTCCCCATTTGTATGTTCCGTATTCATATGTTCAGTATTTGTATGTTCAGTATTTTCATTTTCCGTATTTGTATGTTCCAGTATTTGTATGTTCAGTATTTATATGTTCCGCATTTATAATTTCCGTATTTTTATTTTCCGCATTTGTATGTTACAGTATTTTTATGTTCCGTATTTAAATGTTCCAGTATTTGTATGTTCAGTATTTGTATGTTTAGTATTTATTTGTTTAGTATTTGTATGTTCCAGTATTTGTATGTTCCGTATTTGTATGTTCCGCATTTGTATGTTCCGTATTTGTATGTTCCGTATTTATGTGTTCAATATTTGTATGTTCAGCATTTTTATTTTCCGTATTTGTATGTTCAGTATCTTTTTTTTCCGTATATGTATGTTCCAGTATTTGTATGTTCCGTATTTGTATGTTGCAGTATTGGTATGTTCAGTATTTGTATGCTCAGTATTTGTATTTTCAGTATTTGTATGCTCAGTATTTTTATTTTCCGTATTTATATGTTCCAGTATTTATATGTTTAGTATTTGTATGTTCAGTATTCGTAAGCTCAGTATTTGTGTTCATACACGTGGATGTGATACTATTTGTGTATTACGTCGCTCAAGAGCCAGTACGAAGTGTCAAAAGTGTTAATAAAATTTGTTGATAAATTTTTCTATGATTCCTGAGGGTAAAAGCTCTTACAACAACTTCAACGAATAAACACTGTGCAATGGCACACGCATATGAATCATCAGCAAGTTAACACTTTTGTACTGTACTCACAATATGGTTTTTTCGACATAATATCTGTACATGTGTGTCAGTGGGTTTGGGTTTCATTAATATCACGGCGTGTAAACTTAATTCGGGAGGAAAGAGGAAAGTGTTGCAAAGATGTATACATTATTCATGATATGATCATCTTAATCTAGTGATTCATCACTGTTTGTTTTAGATATGCACAATGCATCTCGTTATTCTACTGGCATAATTATTTCTGTGCCGTGGACCTTTTGATTATTAGCGTATGTATGTTCATAGGTTTAATACAGGCATTAGGGGAGCGGTTCTATAAATGTTATAGAGAAATGAACTGAACTGCGTTTGCAATTGTTATTGATTTTACTGTGGCTTCCATGTTTCATTGAAGGGTTGAATACTTGCGTCTCTTGTGCTGAAATAATTATACCCAACCCTCGATTCAGTGGGTATTAAGCAACCTACCTAATGTATTTGATCAAATTTGAGCTCATTTGAGTATATCAATAATGCACTTATGTTATGAGACTCCATATTTGATGTAGGTGGTCGTATTGGAGATTTTACGCGTGCTTCAGGTTGAACCGTTTTCGCACTGAACTTCATAGCCAGGAAATCCCCATTTTGTCCCTGAAGAATTTTTCTGACATGTTGTTGAATGACATTAAAGGTCACTTTAGTCGATCAGTATTTATCAGGACGATAACCAAAACCATTATGTACAGGATAACTTGAGTGTTTAAGATTGAAAATTGACGAAACTAGACATCTAGAGCAATGTCTCGGTCATCCCTTTTGGGTGCCCTCCATATCAAGGTCAAGCTATTTATAACTATTGTATCAGGGAAGCCTTAGGCATAGGAAGATCTGTTTCAGAGTTTTACCGCATTGGGCATGTTTCTACACACACCGGATGTTTTCAACTTGTTCTTTATAGGACATGTCCTTTTTCTCACCAGACGTGCATATACCGTTATTATTAAAGTTCCTTGCATCATGTGTACTTCTGGTTTTTATTACGCCCTAAATGTGACGAGTTTTCTCAAATCGGAAGTGATATCACTGAAGAGTATATAAGTGGACGGACACGAGCACGGGTGTGGCCCAGACAGAAAAGTGAATGGTAGCATGAACAACGTCTCCCGCATCGGGGTAAGATAACACGCAAGATATTACACCAGTAGTTATGATATGAGTGAGTGTATGAGTGAGTGAGTTGTGTTTAGTTATATTTAGCAGTACGTGCATTTCGAACTAGGTCAATGGCATTGTACGTGCATTGCCAGCACGAACTGAAAGAAAAAGACGTGCAAGTGTATTGTAAGCGCTATTGACTTACCCTTGTACTTTATCAACTATTGAGTGAGTGTGAGTGAGTGAGTTGTGTTTAAGGCCGCTTTTAACAGTATTCCAGTTATATCACGGCGTGTCAGCTTAATGTGGGAGGAAAGCCCGAAGTGATGCAGGTCTCAGACGTTTACCACTTCGGTTAAACCCACGAGCACGGGTATGGTGCTGACAAACCTAGAAACATATTCGGGGCGAACCGGGATTCTTACCCACTGTCATAGTTTTCTGGCATGCCTAAGGGACCCAACTCTGCACAGATGACGACTGGGCCACCCATGCCCCAGTTTATTATATGAAATGTCACAAAGGTTATGTCATTTATGAAAACATTCTGTTTGACTGATTTATTGTCCTTTGATAACGTCACCAGTCTGTGTCGTTTTACCTTTTCACCATACACCATGTCATAACCCTTTGACGTACAAAAAAGCAATTGTATATAATTTCAGCATAGTTTTCACGAGGGAATTGATAATGTAATCTGCCTTCATATTGAAAATGACAAGAACATGTTGATGAGTTAACAGTAAAAGAAGATGATTAATATATAACTCCACCTGCCGGCGTTTCCTTCACACTTGACAACGAGCGTTAAAAGGAAAACGGGTTTTCTCACATGCAATTCATCACCTGAAAACTGAAAAACTACGGATATAACGAACTCAAAGGCACCACTCTATGCATTCCTAATTCAACGGTATGTCAGTTAACACAACTAATAACGTAAATATAATAAATATCATCATGACTATGAACCACGGTACTCTCATCATTTAAATGAGTGCATGAGCCATGTTTAACGCTACAGATGATGGCTTGTACGACTCACAAGACAAATTGAACAGGCCCATAGTGCATCTTACAATTACATCGGTCTGACTGTACACATACAGTTAGTGCGTTTTCTTGTTGTCTAACGCTGCACTCCAGCTAAATGACAATCGGCATGTATATAATCGAATGTGGCCCAGACAATGCAGTGGTTGATACTATGAGCAACGATCCACGTCGGAGTATGCCTAGATGCCATCAAGCAACTTGTCTAGCCTGACCACACGAACCATTAAGTCGCCTCTGACGGCCAACATAGTTTGCTGGGGACCAATTCACCAGGTCCCCATTTTAGTTGCCTCTTACGACCAGCAACGGATGCATTCATTGACCCATCATTCATTCCAGTCGCTCCTCTTGCATTCAAATACATAATTACATATTGATGAATCTTAAAAACTCGGTAAGTACCTTTAAGTATTCGCTTTTAATATCAATGCCTGTTTATGCTGGCCCTTCTAAACGTATTGGGCGAAAGTCCGCCGCGATAGGGTAGCAGAGTTGTTAAAGCATTCGCTCGTCACGCCGAAGACCCGGGTTCGATTTCCCAACATGTGTACAATACGTGAAGCCCATTTCTGTTGTTCTCAACCGTGATATGGTTGGAATAACGCTAACAGCGGCGTAAAAACATATTCACGCACTCTCTTACTAAATGCGTGACATAATGCTTACTGCTGTTGACAAAGAGTTTAGATAAAACGTAATTTGTGTTCCTTGAAACATATCACATAAACCATAGATAGATAACTTCTGAAGTTACTGTACGTATATGTGTTTACACAATCATGGTGCAATATTGCCGAGTGCGGCAATACGCTTGACACGTATTATGCACTTGCATGCGTGTTTCACGGGTGCCATCGGTGGGGAAGGACACTCTCATTTTTTCGCGAACACATGGCATCATCACAATTTGATAGTGATCACGTTTTCTAGTTTGCAGTGTCATTCATAAGCAAATGCTTATTTCACAGTCGGAATTGTACAATGAACTCTGTTTTAAGTAGATATTTCTTATGATTATGGAAATGTTTTTTGTCGCTTTTATTTACATGCAATCCTGGCAAAAACGTGAAATAAGCACCGTTCCGAACCGATTCAGTTCGAGGCTAGTGAACAAAACTACAGTAAAAAACATTTTTAATATGAAGCTGATCCTGTTCAGGGCTATTGAACAAAACTACAGCGAGATATATTTTGAATATGAAACTCATCCTGTTCGAGGCTATTGAACAAAACTACAGTAAGAAACATTTTGAAAGTGAAACTCATCCTGTTCGAGGCTATTGAACAAAACTACAGTAAGAAACATTTTGAATGTGAAACTCATCCTGTTCGAGGCTATTGAACAAAACAACAGTAAGAAACATTTTGAATGTGAAACTCATCCTGTTCGAGGCTATTGAACAAAACTACAGTAAGAAACATTTTGAATGTGAAACTCATCCTGTTCGAGGCTATTGAACAAAACTACAGTTAGAAACATTTTGAATGTGAAACTCATCCTGTTCAAGGCTATTGAACAAAGCTACAGTTAGAAACATTTGGAATATGAAACTGATCCCGGTCGAGGCTAGTGAACAAAACTACAGTTAGAAACATGTTGAATAGTCACCTGATCCTGTTCGAGGCTAGTGAACAAAACTACAGTTAGAAACATTTTGAATAGGAAATTCAAAGGGAGATTACCCCACTATTCTTCTTGCACACACCATGCATGATACCCAAGTCAGGTAACTACAGAGATCAGTAAGGCTTTCATAGTGACAGGTAAACATGCAAAACACTCAGTATTCATTACGTGAAAGTAAATGTGTTGCAAACGTGCATTCGGGATATACGTAACGTCACCAATAGCATGTACAATGTACTTTGTATAGAGTTATCTATCTTGGTTGTCCAGAACTGAAATCCACATCGGATTGAGTGTTTGAGCTTTGATCAACGTTACATGGGACCGAATACGCGTTAGAGTAACCAAGCAAGTCGTACCAGATGATACTCCATTTTTTCGAACCTGGTGGACTACAACACTGCCAATAATCAACGATTGTAGCAGCTGTGGAATAGTAGAGTGTAGTGAATATTTAAACGTTTTATCTTGTCATGTGTAGGATGGCGATTGGCTTAATGAAATGATGGACAGGAGTGGCCCTAACGCAGTAAACTATAAATAGTGCAGAGATCCTCTTCTTTGCATCGAGACGCAGGAGCCTGTCACAGATCTGAAAACGTAAGTCGCAATTCTTATTAAGGAGACAATTGGAAGGAACATGAAATGCAGACAGTGTTGACTTATTATTATTAAGATTATATTCATATCACCTTACATACCAAATACGGAAATCATGAAATTAATGCTTCTTTAAATTAATGCGCCTGCTGACCCCTAGCCAAAATGCGAATCAAATTAATGCGAAGTCCTTCCAACTCTAGCGGCCTTTTAGAGAGAGAAAATTACTTCCATGAGGCTTACCCGCAATATATTCAATCAAAACTTCATTCAACCATATAACAAGTAGCGGCGTAAAAACCTCACCCGGTATTCGTTACGTAATTTCTCGTCAGTGACTTATTACTTCTTACAACTGCTGCCTAATATACCATGATGTGGAATAAATTGTTCTTGTTGTTATGTCCGCTATCCCAATTGTGTTCCGTATTTCATTCAATATTGTTTACATTCTTTTCATCGAAATCGTGTGTAAATTGAATGGTATCTACTATTTTACTATTTGAAATACATGATAGAATAGCAATATTAATCATATGTTTGTTTGTTGTTTAACGCCGCACTCAGCAATATTCCAGCTATATGACGGCGGTCTGTAAATAATCGAGTCTGCACCAGACAATCCAGTGATTGGGATCGATGACATGCATCAACCAAGTCAGCGAGCCTGACCACCCGATCCCTTTAGTCGCCTCTTAAGTCCTTTAGGAATAATACATTATATTGGCGCTTATGTTTCATTATTACAAGGCTCTCAACTCTTCTTCGTCATCCGATCAATTTCGAATATATTCTTTTAGTCCTACATGTAGTCCATGTTGCTCATTCATCAAAAGTCCTCGCCTGGTATATGGACTTAATTATTATGACTACAGCTAATCACTTGTTGATCGATTGAGTTTGCAATGCTGTTGGATCACGTCTTCAAGATCATGGCACGCAAACTACGATTGATTGCTTCCAACTTGACTTCATGCTAGGGCGGTTTCCGCACCTGAGCATCATTTCTCATGTGTTTTTCGTCATCTACATCTTTGCTATGATCCACCACCTGTTAACGGGATGAGGTTAATATCAGCCGTTGATGATGACGTTGCAGTGTAATGTTTAGATTTTTGTCTGAATCACAGTGCTCAAAAGTACTTGTGCATGTTTGTACATGTAGGTTATAGCCCGTGTTTTATACAGTTATGAATATGATGCTTAGCATCAAGTATATTTGAGAGATTGCTTATACTTTCTACAAAAGGTAGGGGATATATAAAAACAGCTGATTACAGAAATACAAGGATGTATCGAGTGATGGTAATGGATGGACAAGAAACAAGAAGGATGGGTGTAACATGCCAATCGACAGAACATGTTCGCGGCGAATTGTAAGAGTAGAAACAACTGAAAATAATGACAGGTTCTTGTCGCTAAAATATGACTCAAACAATGTCGATGCAATGCTAAGGTTTCACTTCCTCTCGTTCAAGCGTGCATCATTAACAGGTTAGCAGTTACCTAGTGCTTGGCGTGGAATATTGTATCTTCTTTTTATTTTAACCAGTTACAATACGGTTGTCTGGAGAAGATCTCAAAGTCATGTTCAAACAAGGACTCCTTTTTCTTGGCCTTGTGGTATCAACTCAAGGGTTTGGCTATCTGGATATGCCTACAGTAGTGACTAACAGTAAGTATGACATCTGGACCATTTGAATAAACCAACGCTTTCTCAGGTCACCTCACGTTGATTTTGTTTTCTTCTGAACTGGGGGGCGCGGGCTGTACAGTTGACTAAGACATCGCAGTTGGCTGTGCAGACTTCCGCTGGCGTGCCAGAAACCGGTGATCATGGGACCGAATTCCAGAACTGACCTGATACTGCTTCAAGGTCTGCGCCACTTCGGGCTTTCTTACCATATCAAACTGCAAAACCCCTAATATAATTAAAATATTGTTCACAGCGGTGTTAAAGCATGCTCTTTGACTAGTCTCAACGCTGTATGGATTGGTTGGTTGGTTTGTTGTTTTACGCCGCACTCAGCAATATTCCAGCTACATGACGGCGGTCTGTAAATAATAGAGGCTGGAAAGACAATCCACTGATTGAATCATGAGCATCGATCCACGCAATTGGGATCAATGACATGCTTCAACCAAGTCAGCGAGCCTGACCACCCGATCCGTTCGTCGCCTCTTACTACAAGCATAGTCGCCTTTTACGGCAAGCATGGGTTGCTGAAGACCTATTCTACCCCGGATCTTCACGGGTGTGCAGTATGGGGATCACTGAGTACACACTGGTGATGTTTATAACATACCTGACGTCCGTTAAAAACCTCTGATCGTGCGTTAAAAAAAACATTCGCCTTGAGTTTGCTTCCAGATGAGGGAACAGTTTATTGAGAAAAGCGTGTTTTTGAGAATAGTTTATCGTTCAATACGTGAAAACTATAAAAATAAAATAGTAACGTTGTTTCTAAAAAACTTCTACGTCTCTTGTTCCGATATGCATATCATGCTGACACATATAACACATGTTGCAAAAGAGATTACGTTGTGTTTTGTCAAATATAAACATTAAACATAAGTGTGCACATGTTCAGAAGGCATGAATGAATGTTTATTTCTTCCAGAGTATGGAACGGACCAAGTCTACTGTGAATACCAGAACATGAAGATGCTCCCTGATTCCATATGGAGAACCACAGAGTGCGAGGAATGCGAATGCACCAAGAGCGGGATGTTCTGCGAGGGGTGAGGAGATGTTTTGTGTTCGTTTTGAGAGCAAGTTTAAGACGTTCGTAATTTAAAATTGTCAAATATGCCGAATGACATCATCTCGCAGTAACGTGTGCTATATCCTTCTTATAACACAGACAAATCAACATGGCATGCCTACCCAAGGTATATTTCGTTTTAAATTGTTTAAAATAAATTCAAAATTGGTCAAATATATTTGCTGTACTTTCATCTGTTTCAAGATTTCCTACTTTATTATGCTCAAATATGGCGTGTGACTACATCTCGCGGTAATGAGTGATATTCTTTTCTTACAACATAGACATATCAACATATCATTCCTACTCAAGGTATATTTCATTTTAAATTGTAAAATAAAAGTGTAAAATAAATCTAAAATTGGACAAATATAATTGGCTGTTCCTTCATCTGTATCTAGATTTGGATTCAATGCGGGTCTGCTTGAGGCACCGGAAGGATGTGATATCGTGAATGATGCATGCAACATAAGGTTGGTGGATGCTCAAGATGACACCAAGGACTGCGAATCTTTCAAACAAGGGCCTCCGCCCCACCTCTTTGAGCAACCAAGCGGGACAGCGTTTGATGCATACTAGTGAGGCTCTTCTTGTGCCCCCAAACGGGACAACTGTAGCTAAGAAACGAATAAAACTGACATGAAACGTCAGCTACGTGTGTTTTGGTTCTTTTGTAATCGAAACGTCAGTTAATAAGATGAAATTACATTTTGTTTTTTTGCAAAGCCAAACTATTTATGGAAACTCATTGCATTTTTCAACTGATGAAACAGGGCTTCGATCCCTGTCCTTATGATTTAGGAACTGACCCTGTGTAATAGTACCAAAAGCCGTTGCAGGGAGAACGAAAGGTCGGGAGCTCGATCCCCTGGCCACGTCATAACACCACACGTTAAAGATGATACTTGCTGATACCCTGCCTGGCGTTCGACATATTTGGGACAAAACAAGGATAGCCAAGCTCGAAAACCCGTACACTGTGTCAGAGTGGGATATCCATGTTAAACTGCAGCAGTGGGCCTGCACCCTAGAACCGGCATAAGTCCGGCAAGAACAAGAAGCCACACATACACACACGTCGCTATATGAGTGATATGACCTTCACCTCTTTACTCAGCAGCCCAATGGGGATGCTTTAAGGTTTGGTCAGAATTTGCCACCTAAAAACAACAGGGATTTACAAATATTTGCAGTAGGTCAATGAAACGTTGTACATGTCATCCTTAGGGCAGGGCAGTCAACTGGAATTGTTTCACACAGTAAATGATAGGGCATCAGAGTATGGAAAACCTATGTTTTATTGCTTTCAGACGTTTCTATACACGGATGGGAACCCAGCAACTAAAGTACACTAGTAAGCCAGCTCCATAGACAGAAGCCCGTGATCATGAAGATCCGGTTTAGAATTGATCTTCAGCAATCCATGCTTGTCGTAAGAGCGACTAACAGGATCGGGTGGTCAGGCCAGCTGACTTGGTTGATGCATGTCATCATATGCCAATTGCGTAGATCAAAGTTCTTGATCGCAATCACTGGAATGTCTTTTCCTGACTCGATTATTTATAACCCGCCTTCAAAAAGCTGGAATGTTGCTCTGCGGTTTTAAACAACAACGAAACAAACAAAACAAAGGCACCTTTTTGACAGACATGTTTTGCTTATTGTTTATTATGTAATAGAAACAAAGAGAAGAAACTTCTGTTTATTTGAAAAATTCCAATCCAATTAAAAAAATAATAACAGGAAAGTTCCCGTATGTGATATATGACCTGATATGGTAATGTACACTGTTATTAAAACATGGTTTATGAATGTGAATGACTCGCAGAGGACATATGAGTTTGGTCATCAATTTCATTGAGACGACCCGAAAACAACTGAATAGGATCTGGAACATTTCTGAAATAGTCAGGATTTAATTTCTCAGCACACAATGTTTCAAAAGGACCAATTGGCCATCGTAAAAATCCACGGTGATGAAGGTTGGCCATCATCCGGTTTCTTAGATTTCAGGAAAGCAGAGAAGAGGTCACTTACACAAATATCATCACGGACAGGCCTTTCAACCTGGAAATAAAATCAGGCGAACCAGAATTCGAACCAATAATTGTTGGTTTCTGACACACCATCGAAATGCTGAAAAGCGAATTGCGACGCCTAATTTAAGGCGACTGTCCCCAAATGTAAGACGAAAGGCCACAGTAACGAAGGTCATTGACGTTAACAATTTGGTGAAACCAACGAGGCATGGTGCTGATAAAATCATACGCGTCATCTTTCTAATATTTGACTTGCGGATCCATGCCACGGCAAAGACATGCTACTTAGCACAGCAAATCCAGGCGCATACGACCACTGGGCCACCTGTACACCTCTTTTTCGACGATTCGATAACGTTATATGTGTCGTTTCGCGCTGGGAAGCCTTCACGTCGTTCTCGTATTTCATGTTGTTGTCCCACACCCCTCCTACAATAACAACCATTGTACTCTAGATCTTAATGACCAGATCTAGAGGCCGTTTCATGTCATCTGAACGACAAACAAACCAGGCGCTCAATCATAGTGTCCGCCCCTATGTATGACAGGCGTAAATGCCCTGCAAATAGTTAATATCCTTTCAAGCAGTAGTCGATTCTAAGGGATGCGGAAGTAAAAACGGGGAAATCTGAAGAAACAAAGACCGCATAGCGCTGCCTGGACGACCCCCCCCCCCCCCCCCCCACACACACACACACACCGTACATTTCGGAGAATGTGAAGACTCCCCCCACCCCCCACCCAACCCCACCCCACCCCCACCCCCAACACTGCAGCTTTCTGCATTACCCAGAATGTCAGAAGGGCTGTATTCCTGGCAGCAAACCCTGGTTCTCTCCTAATGTCAGTCACCGGACTGGGATGTACCAAACCTAAGGAATAGAGAACAATGGGGAGTCGGACAACTTGGTACTTCGGATGCAAGCTCGACATTTCGAAGCGAGGTCCGCATATTTGCTCAGTCCTTCCCGAATCTTGTCAGTCACATTAGCGTCAAAAGGGACAGAAAATTGAATATTATAAAGTTTTCATTGGATTTATCAAAACGGACAAGATCAGGTTTTTTGGCCTGAATAGGTCTGAGGCTGAATACGCGCCTATTCCAAAGAATTTTGTATTTATCATTTTCCATGTCGCCCTCTACATATTCCGGGTCGTAATAAAATAATAGAGCCACTCCATCTGAGATACTGTGTTAAAGCCAAGGCTGTGCAACCACTGACAGTGTGCTGGACAGTCTCATTAAATGCATTGCATTATCTACATTTCATATTTACATTTTGATGCAAAATCACACATTGACGGTTTCGAGTGGGAAGTAACTGGTCTTCCCACTCGAAACTATCAATGTCTGATTGTAAATGAAATGTTTTATGTATTATTATTATTATTATAAGTATTATTATTATTATTATTATTATTATTATTATTATTGTGATTGTTACACTCATTTAATGTACGCTTAACATCCTGCTATTTTACAATGTAAATTAGTCATATTGTTGTAGGTTGGGTGTAACTATTTCGCAAGGTGGCTGGGGGAAATAACTTGTAGTTTTTCAATTTATTTTTTTATATCCAGGGTGTGGTTATTATGCTCTGCGTACGGAAGAAACCAGGCCATGAATGTTAATTGGAAATTTTGAATGTACTTTTATTTGGTATGTCCGCTAGTTATAAGGTGCAATTAAACTTATTTTAAATTGTATGCATTCCAGTGAGGAGTTCTTCAAGGTTATTAGGGTAACATATTTTTTAGAATTTTCAGCCAGGGCTCCAATATTTCCATTTGTATGTGAAGCACTTTAATCTTTGATATGGGGTCACGGGTGGCCCAGTCGGCTGAGGCGCTGTAATTTGCTGTGCAGAGCCGCGTCCCCTTGGCACGCCATAAATATATGACTGTGGGTTCGGATCCTGGTCTGCTCAATAATGTTTCTAGATTTGTCAACACTCATACCCGTGCTCGTGGGTTTCACCAACGTGGTAAACGTCTGAAACCTGCATCACTTGGGCTTTCCTCCAACATCAAACTGACATGCTGTTTAAACTGACTAACTTAATCACTCAGTAATCTTTGATAGGCATATGGCACAAGAACATCGTATCATACAAAATGTGACATGAAAATGTTAGTTCACGAGGACCTGGGCTTCAATCGTTGAAATGTAAGTGAGTGTTGGACGATAAAACGCGATGGTACCGAGCGAACTTATCAACTTAAAGCATAAGGTATTGTTTCAAACGGAGGCAATTTCACTTATACATCCTGCTCTACCTGTATACGACTTTATATATTCATGTTGATATATATTAACATATATTCCTACATTACAAGTTTAAATTATCCTACAATTGTGAAATTGTACTAAAATTGTATTCTCGCATTTACTGTACTATAGTTACTCTAATAATATTATCTTCTTTTTGGTATATATCGATATCGTCATTTTGTTTTAAATTGTGAACACATACGAGTATCTATTCCGCTGGTATGACAACGCCCGTTACGGGGCAAATTTAAATTGGCCTAAGATAAATAAATTATTTCATAGGAAAATGCACATTTATATATCCTGTTGAGCGTTTGTACCTGTAATTGATGTCCCAGCACATGTCCAGCCTTTTGATAAGCGACCTAGATGTTTTCAATAGAAATATTTCCTTGTGCATTCTAACTCAATATTCTTTCAATCATGATACTGTCTGTAGTTTCAATTTCGACCCTGCATTTGAATTTGAATCTACAGGGAAATCCTATAAACAACAAGCTCACACTGCCAACAACTTTCACTATTGCAGTATGCCTACACACATAATATTTCTCATAGGGGCACTGATGTACCAGACATTATTTTCTTAGGTAAAAGCGGACTGCTGTCAAGTTACAGCGGCCCACAGCTTTCCTATAACATGAGGGCATTTTTATGATAATATTATCCATTTTAGATATAAAACTTGTTTGAATGTTCACACTTAATGCATTATATATTCCATTGTTAACGTTTGCGTTTTTATTAAAGCCTGGTATTGGAAACATATGTACTGGTCCCGTCATTTATACTGGTTGTAAGTGTCAAGTTTTCATTTTGACATGACATGTGCGATAAATATACCAAATAGTGTAAACTTATTGGCATAATAAATTCGTTATGCTGTCGTACCCAATACGCCTAACCTAATACGTTTCTGCTAACCTAATACCGTAAAGGGCAAATAAAGACACGATAACTAATAGTATTCTTTGTTTTTTTCACTGAGCATTATGGAATTTGCGCCATGGTGGTTGGCCTATTTTACAGGTTTTTTTAGTTTATTTCATTGTTTCTTTGTTTGGCGTGCCATGTAGCGAGATAACGTTTTGTCTTCTTTACAGTGTCACATGTTGCTGTCATGAAGTGAAAAATAGTTTTCAGGTGACATTAATAATCCTAATGTCAAGACAACTTAACCTTCGCAGATATTACCCATGGTAAAACAAAACTGAAACGGTGTGAACAATAAAAGTTCAAAATAAACTCACACTGTATCGACATTTACTTGAAGATTTGATAATGCCGACAGTTTCAATTTCCTGTTGATCGAACAAAGGCAACTTTCGGTTCACAAATTTAAAGTAATTATGCCAAATGTTTACACAGACGAAAGAGTAGATTCGATATGCAACCTAACCTTTGATCGCATCAATTCAAATGCCTTGAACGCTCGAGGGGACAATTGCCGTCTTACTCAGTACCCTGGTGTGAAAACTTACTGCGTGCAGACTTCAGGCTTACACGGATGGGATGGAGTAAAATGTTTAACCTTTAAGTTTGGGCATTTTGAATCCCTAGTTTAAAATAATTTGGATAAATAAGTGAATGTCGTAATGTCTATTGTAGTAACACTCAGATGATGTGGATGAACGACGTTCGTTTCATTAAAAAATGGAATAAAACCAGATGTTAATATGAGCGACTAAGATCATGATTACTTACGCAATATAGATGTTTCAACATTATATAGAAATAAATAATAATAATAAATAATAAAAATAATAAATAATTATTTATTTCTATACAACGTTTTATATTATTTTATTTCTATAATAAAAATGTAATAAAACCAGATGTAAATATGAGCGACTAAGATGATGATTACTTACACAAAATAGATGTTTCAACGTTATATAGAAATAAATAATAATAATAAATAATAAAAATAATAAATAATTATTTATTTCTATATAACGTTTTATATTATTTTATTTCTATAATAAAAATGGAATAAAACCAGATGTAAATATGAGCGACTAAGGTCATGGTTACTTACAAAATATAGATGTTTCAACGTTATATAGAAATAAATAATATAACAACTCGTTGTGAGATAAATGGTACATGACAGGCAGGACTGCAGTAATCTGTTTCCTACACTCCCTAAAATCGCACCATTGTATCAGCTAATCGATGCATATTTTGTCTATTCATTGGTGCATAATTACACAACACCCGCTTACTGCCGAAACCTACCAGGAAGCACTACACCAGCGTTGTGTGGAGTAGGGGACTAGCTCTTCACGCTGCTGTCTCTCTGTGTACCAACACCGGTCTCACGTTAATCAGTACTCAGCGGTGTGATGCTGTAGTGGGCCTGGCTATACTTCTTCCAGTCTTTTAGTGAGGTGCCATCGCCTCTGTACATGGACCCGTGTGTGTGAGGCGGTCTCGACAACCAACCCGGATCTGTGACGATTGAGGTGCCATCGCCTCTGTACATGGACCCGTGTGTGTGAGGCGGTCTAGACAACCAACCCGGATCTGTGACGATTGAGGTGACATCGCCTCTGTACAAGGACCCGTGTGTGTGAGGCGGTCTAGACAACCAGCCCGGATCTGTGACGATTGGAGGAGGCAACTGACACGGGTAAATCAAGTAGTCTGTTGGCATGGTGATTACATAATCCATGCATAGTTTGTACGATTCTGGATTGACGATAGGCGAGACCGTCTCATCTTAGTGTGACCGTTTTCACAAGAAATTACGAAGCCAGTGTATCATTATTGCTCTTGTTTCGATTTGAGCAGACGCTCATTCCTACGGAGATCGAAGAATAATAAAGGCGATGAACACACAATGCCATTTAGAAAGTGGTCAAATGTAACAAATGTTATATTTGGGATAACACTTTCTTAGTAAAGTACAGATTCTAGAACTTCTTTTGATAGGTTGAGTCACATCCGGGATTCGAACAGATATACTGGAATTGAAAATAATGAAAGATTATGTCCATATTGAAAATCAGGGGGCCATTCCTATATTGAAAATGAATTTCATGTGTTATTTGTTTGCGGTATTTATAAAGAAATTAGAAACAAAATGCATTGGTAAATTTATTCATGAACCGTATACCATGCACACGAAAGTGAGTCTTTTACAAAAAATGTAAACCAGGAAGCCATATATAATATTGGTTTATTTCTGTGTTATGTCTATAAAATTATCAATGCTAGAAATTTTTAAAAAGTGAAAATATTATACATGTTTGTAAATGCGTATGCACAAATATTAAATATGTCTGCATTTTGGGCCAAAGGCCTTATAACGAATAAATTTGACTTGTCTTGTCTTTTGCCTGAATTACAAACAGGAAAGTAGTCGGTCATAATCTGACTTCGGTCATAATCTAAGTCAATCACAAACCTGGAGTTGATATCATACATAATTATTATGTTTGATACCAGTTATCTCAAATGGGCTAATCACCGACATGTGTGAGAAACCTAAATCTGGTTTGGCTCATTCTGGATTAGGTGTTAAAGTTGTTTATCGTGTGACTTGTTTCATATTCCTTCTGATTGTTTAGTTATGTTCAGTCTTGGGATTGTTCACATTTTACTAATAATGTGGTCATTTTAAACAGCACGTCATAGGAGGAGAGGGTATGTTTCAACTTGCCTGATAATATTAGATATTATACAGTATTCAATAAAGCCTGGCCATAGTTTAGGATGATAGTCATTCAGTCATTTAGGACAACCGTTTCTGGGAAGCCTGTTTCGCTGTCGGGGACAGGTGGGGGTTATGTGTGAATGAAGATAATACAAAATACAACATGGACCAAAGATGACAAAATACGGGCGCAGCTTTATTTCTTGACAATACCACCCGTGAAGATCCGGCATAGAATGAGTCTTCAGTAACCAATGCTTGCTGTAAGAATCGACTACCTGGATGGGTTGGTCAGGCTCGCTCGCTTGGTTGATGTCATGCTCACTGAATGTTCTGGTCTGGACTTGATTATTTACAGACCGCCGTCATATAGCTGGAATATTGCTGAGTGCGGCGTTAAACAACAAACAAACAAACAAACAAAGGTAGCTACAAATGAGGAAATAACAGATTTTCCTTCTGTGTTTACGACAGATGGACAAGACGTTGGAGGACATGGAAGACGAGACAACAGCGGATGTGAACCAGGGCACGGGTGATGTCTTTGTTTTATGACGTGAATTTGGTAAAAAGACAAAAGAAAATAATGGACTCACCATGCATTATTCCATGTTTGGGGTTGTTTGAGACAGGATGTGTGTTCAGTCACTGCAATTATTTTCTGTGAAAGGAACCAAGCCATTTAATTATTATTCACAACCTATGTTGTTGAGGACATCGAGCATGTTCAAAGCAACCACATAATCAAAGCCTTCAAAACTACCAATCCACACACACACACATGTAATTTAAGTCCTTTATACTTTCACTTATATCAATGGTCAAGATAGGTTATATATACTCGAAGTAACATGTAGTCGTGTGAACCCACACGATTCCACTGTTTCTATATTCCCTCATTATGAAAAGACTGTTTGTGTTTTTTCTTGTCCTTGTTTTTGGAGTCATTCATGCAAATGAAGAAATCATTTCTTGTTTGAATATATAAAATCAGATCTGTATGCAATGTCTTATCTAATTTTACTTTTCTTTCTTAGGTAGTGTAACCAATACTGGAATAGCAGGCGACGGCACGGCAATCGGTACCAATGTAATCGGGAAGATAGAGGCCAACACAGTTAATCAGGGTATGTCTTCAACACCTTTACATCTGATATTGTTTTGCCATTTCAGTAAAACATATTGTCATAGCGACCGATTTGGGACAACCAATGTCTGAATGAACATTTAATTCCAAAGGCTAATTACTCTGTTGCCATGACATCTATATGCCATGAATCACTTAATTGCCGTTATTTATAAGATGCTAATCCCAATTGTTTATCCACATTGAATTGTACAATAACTGTCTACAATCCTGACCCAGATTGGCAACTATGTCACTGATTACTTATTGTTGTTTATATTTATGACTTAATCCATGTCAGGCTATATAAGCCTTGGTCCAGAGGTGGAAATCAGAGAAAGAATAGATTACCCTTAGTCTAGATAGGTTTAGGCTAGGTGTTCCGGGGCACCAAGACAACAACCACTACCACTATGTACTGACCTGGCACACTGTGTTTCTTGTATGTATATATATATCTACCTGTATAAAGTAAACGTGTATATACCGCAAGCCATCGACTCCGTGTTGTCACTTCCTACCGAGAACCATTCGCCGACCCCATGCATAATCGAGTATGCAAATTAATCGTAAGCAACGTCACGTGTGTCTACAAGGCACGTGCACAAACGCGTTGTTAATACCATGGCCTTTTAACAGATAACACACAGACACATAGTCACCGGGTCAAAATGTGTGTCCTCCACGTTGTGTTATTTGTTGCCATTCTATCGCCAAATGGAAAAACAATGTATATATTGAGGAATAATTCATTCACATGAAAGGACAAGCATACCATTATGACGTGTCTGTGTGAGGGGGTTTAGGAAGGCAATTTGATGGAGAACTTTGACAATAAATCAACTAATTTGTCATATGAACATTTTTATTATGAATGTGTTTGATGTACTGTGATGTTATTATTATTTAAGGTAATACGTTTTAATAACTGCATATCAAACATCACTGCCACCCCCGGAAAAAACTGATTGCCCAAAATGCTGGACGATTCGGTCCGTCAGAGCCGTTTAGAAGGTTAGAGATGCATCTGAAGGAACGGTTTCCTGTTTCATTGGTAGCTGTTTGGAGAGGAAGTATGATATTTTGTTGTGAACAAGAGTGCAGAGAAGATGCTAATGTTTATTTCGTAAAGTAATAAACATTTTATATTAATTTCAATTCCAGTGGTTGTCAACATACAATCGCCAAAGGAGCAGACAACACAAACAACAGGTAATATTGGTACATGTACACAGACAACAGGTAATATTGGTACATGTACAGAAGCCAGGTAATAGTGTCACCTGTATACCGGTGTCCCGGTATAAACTCTCCCCCGTACAAATTCTCCCCCCGGAGATTTTATACCGGTACAGATTCTCCCCCGGCGAATCTGTTCTGAAATAAAATCTCCCCCGGGCGGATATATTTCGCGCCCCCCTCAGTATAAAGTCTCCCCCCTGATTATTCGGTTTGTTGCAATGTCTTTAAGTACTATATTCTTTAAATAGTTATCTTTAATGTAAGGAGGGTTACTTTAAAAAATAGATTATGAAATATGGTCATAATGAATTGATATTTCAGAATATTTTATTTGGTAACTGTACCTTCCATCCTAAAATAATTATAAGACATAATCATACCAAACAAAGGATGGGAGACATGAGTCTCTACAGAACTTGTTGTTTCTAATACAGTTGTTGTTGTCTGTATACATTTTTTTAATATACCAGTTTGAGTCTACATGTGAACACAATCGATGGTTGAAATGTTAGTCTAAGAACAAAACATGAACTAATTCTAAAGAACTCTGATGTATAAAGTTACCTTCATCTTTGATTGACTGATGTATTTTCAATCTTTATTCAGCACTGAAGAGGCCACAGGCCTATAGTACGAAGCATTAAGTTTATGAATAAACTGTTATAAAGTATTCATAAAGTATCAGGGGTCATTTCAACTTGCAAAATGATTGACATAGTCCTTTATAGAGCGAGGATTGGGCTGTTTTCTCACCCGATTGACTGACATACAACATTCACATGGTTTAGAATGGTACAATGAATGGTAAAGCATGCAAATTACTCTAATACGCGATATTTCATAAGAAAATATCATATCTCCGTTAAAACATAAAACCAATATTTATGAGTCTACATATTGATATAAGACTTTATCACTGTATCCAATTCCAACATTTTAGATATAAACTTTCGGACAGTTCAGTTCAAAATTCTTCAACCTTTAATACATCACAGGGATTTGTAGCTAGACGACGGGAATCTACAGTCTTGACTGTGTGTGTGTTTTTTTATGAGAATGTTTCTCACCGACCTTAGCGTGTAGGGGTGTGATGTCCTGGGCAGGAAATGACAGTGTTTTGACTACTCGTCTTTCATTAATTAACGTTATGGGCATCCCTAATTAACATTTACTAATTCATGTTAAACCAACACAGGATGTTTTCTGGAAGTGGACAATCGCGAATGTAATAGGGCTGACACGACATGTGTTAATAACTGTCCTAGAACTTCTTAAGTTACTAAACATTCTTTATATCTAACGACTAATATTATATCCACCTATATACCACTTTATTGTCTCATACTGCGGTAGTAAAGAAAACACAGTGCTCAAAGTGAAGCCCTTTTCACTCCACATTCTCAACATCGTCTCTATCAGAAGTGTTTGGCAACTATTGAACTGCATGGCAAGTATTTATAAAACGACCGGACTCCAAGTAAAGAATGATTTGACAAGTCTAGATTGCCTAAGTTCTGGTCCTGAAATCAAGCATCGTTCTGGGATCCATGGGGGGGGGGAGTATTCTGGGGGCGAATATATTTCGTGACACCGGAACTACTGATGTAACTGATTTCAGAGATCTTATTAATCCTCGCAAACATTCGGTTTTAACACTAACTACGTAAAAACTGTCAACATATCCACGCCGTTATACTCTGATTAAAGATCTAAAATATATTCCTTAATACAGGCTACCATTTGAAAATGGTATCAGTGTAATACCAGGGGCTAGAATATCATGGTGCAACCAGGTTTCTGTTAAACATACAACATCATAACTATCTAATTCAGCATTGATTAAATCTACTTTAAAATCTACTAAGACTGCGTACGTTTACATGTTTAATCTTTATAAGCAAAGTAACCCAAAATATAGATAATGTGTATCATCTTCCCGAAATGATTAGCATGTAGAATAGATTCAAAAACACCTGTATTGAACAACATCAACCGGCATCGTCAAAGCAAAGTGTACATGTAATTGTTACAATGGGGCTGGCGGTGAATATTAATGAAGAACATCTTGTTAAAAAGACACACCGAAACTGATTTGCATAACTGATGACCACAACATATTGCAAAATATCAAAATAGTAAAAATGATACAGTTTAACCTCACACTGAAGAGAAAACAAGAACGACACAGAAAAGTAAAATAGTACGTCATATAGAACTGAGATAAAGTAATCTGAGAAGGGATTCATACGTTATATACAACTTAAAAATATAATATTATGAAAAACGAAAGGAAAGGTGGGACACCCCCCACCCCCCACCACACACCCCACACCCCACACCCCACACAAGTAACTAAATGTATAATTCAGAAAAAATAAAGGAGATAAAAAAAAATGAATAAAAAAACACATAAACAAATTAACATTAAAACTATTGGCAACTGCATGGCAAGTATTTATAAAACGACCGGGGGAGGAAATATTCTGGGGGGAGATTTTATTTCGTAGGGTGGGGGAGAGTTTATTTCGAGAGGGGCGGAACTGTACCGGTATAAATTCGCCGGGGGGAGATTTTATTCTGGGGGCGAATATATTTCGTGACACCGGCACTATATAGCTAGTTAATATTAGTACAGGTACACAGACACCAGGTAATATTGCTACAGACACCAGGTAATTATGACACCTGTACACAAATATTTATAATTATGTTATTTATCTTTATATAAATTTAACGCACCACTGACAACATTATCTTATGAAATGATTACCTCTGCATCCCACATAGCACGACATGAACAGATTCAGTCTATTCTACGAATCCTGTTTGTCTCCACAGCCACGGCCAGAGGAAAACATGTCAAATGTATTCTAATGTGAAAACACAAACCTTAGTCAGACTTATCAGACTATATGTCAGACTATAATCAGTAAACTCACACAAACCAGCTTTAGTCATTCCCTCTCCGAAACGCTACGTTGCTATCAGCCATATTGTATAATGTATAAATAATGCATCCACTGTTTCATATCAGTGTAAGATGTGAACAGTAAAGCTGTAAGATACAGATGTCCGATATGTTGGTTTGTTGGTTGGTTGGTTGTTTAACGCCGCACTCAGCAATATTCCAGCTATATGACGGCGGTCTGTAAATAATCGAGTCTGGACCAGACAATCCAGTGATTGACATTATGAGCATCGATCCACGCAATTGGGACCGATGACATGTATCAACCAAGTCAGCGAGCCTGCCCACTCGATCCCGTTAGTCGCCTCTTACGACAAGCATAGTCGCCTTTTACGGCAACCATGGGTTGCTGAAGACCTATTCTACCTCGGAATCTTCACTGGTGCCGATATGTGAACAGAGTTTACTTTGTTTTGCAGCACGGACAGACGCCTGGGTAGACTCCGAAATCCATACATGCTGCAAGTCGGGGAACCTAGCGAATGTGAAGCGGATCCTGACAAAAAGTCGGGTTGACGTCAACAGTAGAGGAGAGATGATGGGGACACCGTTGATGATGGCGGCATGGTATGGACATAGAGATGTGGTAGAGTTCCTTCTGAGTCAAAACGCTGATGTGTCACTGATGGACCAGTACGGTAACAATATCCTTCACTACGCCTGTTGGGGAGGATATGTGGAGATGGCGAAACTTGTCCTCTCACACAACATGGCGGACATCAACAGTAGGGGAGGTTGGGGCAGGACACCAGTGATGTGGGCAGCAAATAAGGGTCACAGAGATGTCGTAGAGATCCTTGTGAGTGAAGGAACAGATGTGTCACTGATGGATGATTTAGGTAACACCATCCTCCACTGCGCAAGCGAGGGAAGCGATGTGGAGACGGTGACGTTTGTCCTCTCAAAAATGAAGGTTGAGGACATCAAAGCCAGAAATGGGGTTGGGAAGACAGCAGCCGAAGTGGCGGAATACGAGGGCCACAGGAAACTGGTGGATCTCCTGGTGGATTATCAGTGAAGTGAGAGTAGCCTGTGCAGGAGGACGTAGTTTCATGTTGTGCGGACCCGTGAAGATTCCGGGGTGGAATAGGTCTTCAGCAACCCATGCTTGCCGTAAAAGGTGATAATGCTTGTCGTAAAAGGCGACTAACGGGATCGGGTGGTCAGGCTCGCTGACTCGGTGGATGCATGTCATCGATTCCAATTGCGTGGATCGATGTTCATGATATCACTCACTGGATTGTCAGGTCCAGACTCGATTATTTACAGACCGCGGTCATATAGCTGGAATATTGCTGAGTGCGGCGTTAAACAACAAACCAACAACAAAAACAATCATATTGTGCGTGGTGTGTGCCGTTCACATCGTCGTTTTTTATATATCTTTTGACTAATGTGAGGTTTGTTATGTTTTCGAAGAAATAAAAGTTGTAAAAAAACTTAGAAGCATTTTTGTCTTCTTTTGCATTTGGAACCTTGCATAACCAGGCAAATAAATTGTTTACTGAGCGTGACTGTAGATTACGTGTGATCAGTATATAAACACCACGTGTCGTAATATCTTTCTGAACGAATTGTATGTAATACATGTATATTGTATGTAATTGATGCACCATCACAATGAAGTCACAGTGCTATATGATGACACTTTGAACAGCATTTATATCATAATTACCTCACTACTTCTAAAATACATTTCTTAAATACTGCTTTGGTTAGATTTTATTTGTTGAATAACTATACAGAACATTTACGTGAGTTACCTTATTGACAAAAACAGCCCAGGAAGAGTCTTGATAGGAGCGCTATCCCTTTAGCCCGTTTCCACATAAGGAGGGGCGGTAGGGTAGCCCAGTGGTTAAAGTGTTTGCACATCACGCCGAAAGCCCCTGTTCGATTCCCCACATGGGTACAATGTGTGAAATCCATTTCTTGTGTCCCTCGCTGTGACATTTTAAGAACCAGCAGGTGTCAAAATGCGCAACACATTTATGATTATTAGCGCTATTCACTCAATGAACGCCTCCATCCGTTATCGTGAAGTTACCAGTACGTTATCCATTGATGTCTTCTCCGTGGCGATTTTTTTGTTGTTGTTTGGTTTGGATTGTTGTCTTACGCCGCACACAGCAATATTCCGGCTATATGACGGCGGTCTGTAAATAATCGAGTCTGGACCAGACAAACCAGTGACTTACATCTTGAACATCGATCCACGCAAATGGGATTGATGACATGCATCAACCAAGTCAGCGAGCCTGGCCACCCGATCCCGTTAGTCGCCTCTTACGACAAACATGGTCGCCTTGTACGGCAAGCATGGGTTGTTTAAGGCCTATTCTGCTCCGGATTGTCACGGGTCAGTAATCGAGTATGGTTTTACGCCGCTGTTAGCAATATTGCAGAAACATCTCGGAGGGGAGACCTGGAATGGGCTTCATTCATTGTACCGACTTGGTAAAATCGAACCTGTGTTTTCGACGTGAAAAGCGAGCGCTTAACACTAGAATACCTGAACACCCCTTCAAGCTAAGGAGCCAATAAAGCCAATGAAATAGTACTGTCAAGCCATATCGATTTTGTGTATATATTGGAGGGTGACATTGTACCACAATTGACATCATTCAGATTTTGTACAGCGATGACCATGCCGCGATGTAAACACTACCTCCGTTTTGTTATTAAAATTTGAGTGATCTGGTTCAACCGAGGTTACCACATTTGAGACAACCAGGGTTGACTAGATTCAACCAGTGTTAATCAATGGTAACATTTGTTTGTTTGTTTGTTGTTTAACGCCGCACTAAACAATATTCCAGCTATATGACGGCGGTCTGTAAAATAATCGAGTCTGGACCAGACAATCCAGTGATTGACATCATGAACATCGATCCACGCAATTGGGATCGATGACATGTATCAACCAAGTCAGCGTGTCTAACCACCCGATCCCGTTAGTCGCCTTTTACGGCAAGTATGGGTTGCTGAAGACCTATTCTACCCCGGAATCTTCACGGGTCCAATGGTAACAGTACTCGATATATATAAAATAGCAATACCTAGATTATTATATTCATTAAAATCATTTAATTCAAGAAAGAATCAATAAATGCAAGTAATTATCTTTTACACAACACAACAATTACATGTTACACTAAATTTAGATGAATGTGATGGTTGTTATATCTGAACTGGTATGATAATGGCCTTACTATCGAAATAAACATCTAAATGATCACACAAACCTTTCCATAGCCATAAGAAATCTCTCAGGTGACAGATGTTGTATGTATAACTATCAATGTCAGTGTCAGTGTCAAAGCAGGCAGTTCAAATGTACATAACAGTTATCTATATTCATAAGCGACATATAAATATGCTTACGTATGTATTTCATTGTGTAAAATAACACTGAAATAAAACACAATAGCTTCCTTAATGCAAATGGTTATGACAAGAAAACTGTCATTTTGGGTAATGCAATAGTCACCGATGATCTACATGAACAACATTGAGTCCACACATCAGTCTCTAAATGAGATACTGTGCATGTATAATGTTATGTGCCTGTTGGAAACAAATTGTCCATTCTCGATGGCGAAAGATACAGGTAGACTCAATGGTATGTTTATCGATAGATAAACTCGAAAAAAACAGTTCAGTGATAACACGACTTTCTGTGTCCTTGAAACAAATCAAACGACTTCAGCAACGTGTTGCTGGTGGATAATGGGTCTACAACCAATAAGAGCCCAAGAGTATTCACTACAGAGTACAGTACATGTCATCGTATCCCGAATGCGTAGATCGATGCTTATGATATCAATCCCTGGATGTCTAGTCCAGACCCGATTGCTTGCAGGCCGCCATCATATACCTTTAATATTGCTGAGTTCGGCGTTAAACTACAAACAAACAGTACTTGATATTGCTTTGAAAACAATATGGCCAAAACAGAAACAGACAAGAAGTAAAATTTATAAGACTTCTCTGCCACACTCGACTGTACGATTTCCACTACATTATGATGCAACTCGTTCGTTGTTTAACGCCACACTCAATATTCTATATTCCACATATATAGCAATATTCCAGCTGTATGACAGCGGTATGTAAATAATCGTGTCTGGACCAGATAATCCAGTCATTGACATCAAGTGCATCCATATACGCAATTTGGATACGACGGTTTAATCATTTATGAAATTAATATAGTTTATCTATGTGTATGTTATCATGTTCTTTGATAACGTCACCAGTCTGTATTGTTTTACCTTTTGGTGAGTTTTCATGTCATAACCATTGGCATCAAAGAACCAGTCGTGTCTAATTTCAGTATAAATTAGACGAAGAATGAAAAATGTAATATGCCTTCATGTTGAAAACGACAAAAGCATGTTGATGTATTACTAACACTTCAAGATGATTAATATATGTACGCCACCTGCCTGAGTTTCCTTCATACTTGACACTAAGAGTCAATAAAAACAACTGTCTCACATGCAATAAACATCACCAGAAAACTCAAAATGTCGATTGTGTACTATGTTGCCTGACAAACAAAGTCATCTTTTAGGACTTGTGCTCAAATGAAAGTATACATTTACACATGGTCCCGTCCGGGAAATTGACGGAGAGTAAGTTATTATATGCAGAATGAAATAGAGCGACAATGCCCTGTAGCTTACCTGGATTATGAAAAAATAAATTATGTGATGCTTCTACCTAATTAGGGTGAAAAACATGTGAGTTGAAGAAAAATGATGGATTCCAAGTAAAATGTTTTTGCAACATTTTACAACGATGCAGTTTTGAACAAACTTGAATTTACTAGCCATTTTCATTCACACAAAGTTCAATTTTCGGCGGTGGTTCTTAAGAATACGATTTTAAAACATGTCGTGAAAGTTGATTTTTTAAATATTTTGGTCCGTCAAAAGACACTTGTCAAATTATCAAAAATGTTGCCCGCCGTTCGGGCACATCTCTGACCAATTTGAACGTATTTCGATATTATCTCATGCATCACAATGGGCCACCCTTCGTTCCTCTCACAGTGCCTCCCTTCACGCCCGAAACACGTCTGCCACCTGTTAAGTGTAAACAAAATCTCAATTCATCAGATGACGCCCAAACGGTTTTGCCCACTGTTCTCAGAGGCGCATGTGTGCCTCTGAAAGGACATGTTGATTTCAGACCCAAATTTTACCCTGTTTCGTATCGTTGACGTCGAAAGTCGCATTTCTGTGGCAGCCCTGACGTTTTCTCTCAGTTCTGGTGCAGACATTAATCTGTTCCTCAACGCAAGGGCGCGAACCCGACCTGGGAGTAGTCTTTCTAAGCCCTCCTCTACCCATCCCAATCTTAACCCCAACCGTTTGCCAATAGATTTCCGACCCGTAAAGATTCCGGGGTAGAAAAGGTCTTCAGCAACCCATGCTTGCCCATCTTCCCGAGGCAAGAGAGTTAACTGACTTTAAAAGTCAAGTTTCCACCCTTGCCGAACTAGGCTGGAATTACTGGGCTCGATCGTAGCGCCACCAGTGTCTATTACGAGTTATGTCCTTTCTATGCCTCTCCTATTGACCAATCAGATTCAACCTCTCGTATCACTTGCATTTGCTTCAAAAAAACCGGTGGCGCCCAGTCAAGACGATCTGATTGATAATCAAGATCTATATTGTGATAAAACGAGCCTTACATCGCGAAGTGCATCAAATCACGTGAGCACCTTGATTAAAAGCATGAAAAGATTTAGAAAATATCTGTTGACAACGAGTTAGCGAGGCACATGCTTTGCAAATCCTGCAGTCGACCGAAATCTGCATGAAACTTTACGAACCGGGTTTCGATTTCAGTGCGCGATTTTGATTGGACTATGCAAAGACTCGTTAGTCCAGCCAAAATGTAACTCCATAATACCAGCCTAGTTCGGCAAGGGTGGAAACTGGACTATTATAGTCAGTTAACTCACTTGCCTCGGGAAGATGATGCTTGCCGTAAAAAGGTGACTATGCTTGTCGTAAAAGGCGACTAACGGGATCGGCTGGTCAGGCTCGCTGACTTGGTTGATGCATGTCATCGATCCCAATTGCGTGGATCGATGCTCATGATATCAATCACTGGATTGTCTGGTCCAGACTCGATTATTTACAGACCGCCGTCATATAGTTGGAATATTGCAAACCAAAAACCAATAGATTTCCATCTGTCGGAAAATCACACCTTAGATTTACCAGTGTCTGTTATTGTCCAGCTCTGTCATGCCTTTTGCGCGCATTCTTTCATTTTCTCGTGTACACTTCTGGGGGCCTTTTCCTCCGTTGTAACCGATCAATAAACCATATGGTTGTGACGTTTATTGGCACATGCGACCGCCTCCGTGGTATAATGGTAGAGCGTCCGCCCGGAGAGCGGACGGTCCGGGGTTCGATCCCCGACCGCGTCATACCAAAAGACATTAAAAGATGGAACTTGTTGTTACCCTGTCTGGCGCTCGGCCTTAAGGGGCTAAAACAAGGACTGGTCGGCTTTGAGTCAGTATACTGTGTCTGAGTGGGGTGTTCATGTTAAACTGCGGCATGGTATCTCAGTGAGCTAGCACTATAAATTGGCATCAGTCCGGACTAGTACAAGCAGCCACACAAACACACACACGTGCATGCACGTCGCTATATAAGTGCAATAATCTTGGACGCGACGTTAAACCCCATTTCCCCTCCCCTCACCTTATTGGCACATGCAAGAAACCAGGATGCGTCACCGTGCACGGCATGTTTTACGTGTGAAATGTGCTACTATTATGCCGAAAAGATTCTTAATTAAAATGGCTGCCGTATCGACCATGTTTAACAACGTATTGTATTTCTGTGAGCATTTTAGAGACACCAAAGCTGATATAAAAAATCCAAAAGGTAACGACCGACGGACGGACAACGCGCCACGACATAAGTCCACTATACTTTACTTGTCAGGTAGAGGCGGTCCGGTAGCCTAGTGGTTAAAGCATTCGCTTGTCACGCCGAAGACCCGGGTTCGATTCCCGACATGGGTACAATGTGTAAAGCCCATTTCTTGTGTCCCCCGCCGTGATATTGCTGGAATATTGCTAAAAGCGGCGTGAAACTATACTCACTGACTCACTCACTTGTCAGGTAGCTATATCCAAAATTGGTCTGGAAGAATGTGGTTCGATTTACCATCACTTCGGCAATGTTTCAACCCATAAGAATAATACTTATACAACCATATAAAGAATTACAATCAAACCGAATAAGGACAATAAATATCACATATTTTAGATAAAACATGTACAAATAAGGTCTATAACATTACCCTTAACTGGAAGAATCCAAACGCAATGGAAATTAGCGATTACTTCATTAGAAGAGTGTCTTCACTCAAAGATGGCTATCGAGACCATCTGATCTCGATAGCTGCTTCTTACAACGAGCAGGGTTGCTAGGGTCCAGTAAAAGTTCTTAGCATTGTGTTTTGACAATGGTTAACTGTCAGGAAATAATATCTAATTTACGCAGTGTTGTGGAAGATACTATATTCAGATGCTTCCATTGTTCTTTTTTTCATAAAATGAAGAACAAAAACTAACGCGAAAGAAACATTTTGAATATGAAATTTTAAGCCAGATTATCCTTTCTGCAGACAACATGATACCCAGTAAGTCAATAACTACAAATTTCAGCAAGGCTTTAACGTTTTACCACACATGTTGACATAACATATGAAAAACACTCAATGTGAAAGTAAATGTGTTGAAAGTGTATGTTCGGATGATATAGAGAATCTCAGCAGGGTGTCTTTTGATATCAAATACATCAACACGAGTTGATAAAAGTGGGAAAACTCCGAGGCTTGCCGAGGTTTTTTTCCACTTTTATCAACGAGTGTTGATATATTTGATATCGAAAGACACGAGGGTGAGATTTTATTTATCATCCAACATCATTCTTCCAACTTTTTCAGTTTGTAGACAGTAATAAGCAGTGTCTTAAGTCTAAAAAGTACTGCTAACAGCTTCAGTAGCAGAGCCATTGGTGATGTCATTTGATTGTGACGTCATGTAACAATGACGTCACAATGGTCTGCAAAGCATTGTGATGCAATTTCATTGCAGCGATATCTACAGTGTAGATGTCGCTTGATCTCACCCAAGCGATATCTCCCGTTGGAGCCAGTTTTGGATGATAAACTAACATACATAGCATATACAATGTACTTTCTATAGAGTTACATATATTGCTTGTCCGGATCTGCATTGATAAGCGCATCATGGGTACGAATACAAATTAAAATAACCAAGTAAGTGACACCAGATGATACTCTGTCCTAACGAACCAGGTGGTCTACAACACTGCCAATGATCAACGAGTGTAGCAGCTGTGAAGTGAATATTCAAACGTTTTATCTTGTCATGTGTAGGATGGCGATTGGCTGAATGAAATGATGGACAGGAGTGGACCAAAGGCAGTAAACTATAAATAGTCCAGAGATCCTCTTCTTTGCATCGAGACGCAGGAGCCTGTCACAGATACTGAAAAGGTAAGTCGCAATTCTTCATGAGATGTGACATTTGAACTCACTCACTCCACTCACGCCACGCCATTTATTCATGCTTTGATGTTTGTTAGATTTTTGTTTAACGCCGCACTCAGCAATTTTCCAGCTATATAATCGTGTCTCGACCAGACAACCCAGTGATTGACATCATGAGCATCGATCCACGTAATTGGGATACGATGAGTACATCAACCACGTCAGCGAGTCTGACCACCCGATCCCGTTAGTCGCCTCTTACGTCAAGCATAGTCACCTTTTACGGCAAGCATGGGTTGCTGAAGACCTATTCTACCCCGGATCTTCACGGCCCCCATGTATTCATGCTTGCATCATGAACAGGGTAGTGGTTACCTTGTGCTTTGCTTTGGAATATTGTTTCTTCTTCGGCGAGCACATAGCACTTTCATCTATTGCAGGATAAGAGTGATCGGCGGGGTTGCCTATTGGTTAAAAGCGTTCGCTCGTCACGCCGCAGAACCCGGGTTCGATTCCCCACATGGGTACAATATTGTGAAACCCATTTCTGGTGTCCCCCGCTGTGATATTGCTGAAATATTTCTTAAAGCGGCGTAAAATACTCACTCACTACAGGATAACAGTTATATTAATTCGTTGACCAGTTTTGTGCAATGCTTTGCCCTGTTATAGTAATATCCTCGACTGAAAGCCCGATTGCCACAATAACATTATTTCTTATTTTAGTTACCGGTTACTTTACACTTGTTGTCTGGAGAAGATCTAATTCGGCGTCATGTATATGCAAGCACTCCTACTTCTTGGCATGGGCGTATCGACCCAAGGGTTTGGCTATCTTGATCCGCCTACAGTAGTGACTAACAGTAAGTATAACATATGGACCGTTTGAATAAACCAACGCTCTCTGAGGTCCCCCCACATTGTATTTGTTTTCTTCATGGGAGGACACAGCCGTCCATGGCTACGCAATTTGCAGTGCAGACTTCCGGTGGTGCAGGGGCGGTAGGGTAGCCTTGTGGTGAAAGCTTTCGCTCGTCACAGCATATAAAACATCATTGCCACCCCCGGAAAAAACTGATTGCCAAAATTGCTGGACGATCATATTTGAAACAGACAAAACGATTCGGTCCGTCAGAGCCCTTTAGGGGCGGTCGGGTAGCCTAGTGGTTAAAGCGTTCGCTCGTCACGCCGAAGACCCGGGATCGATTCCCCACATGCGTACAGTGTGAGAAGCCCATTTCTGGTGTCCCCCGCCGTGAAATTCCTGGAGCATTGCTAAAAGCGGCGTAAAACCATACTCACTCACTCCGGTAACTTATGATCCTCGGACCAAACCCTGGAACTGACCTGTCACTGTTTGTTAGGAAATTGTGCTCGTGGGATTCACCATAGTGTTAAATTCTAAGAGGAATTTGACACTTCGGGCTTTCTAGCACATCAAGCTGACACACATGTACAGCTGAAATATTGTTCATAGCAGTGTTACGCATCATTCTCGTTCACTCTTCTCAGTTGAGGTTTGTCACATGCCTGACGTCCTTTAAACAACGTAGGATGCTGGGTTCAAAGCCCCGTTCGTCCTGGTTTTGTTTCAAGATGTATCAGGGGGCACGGGTGGCCCAGTCGTCGAAGGCGCCGCGATTCGCTGTGCAGTGTTGCGTCCCTTGGGCACGCCAGAAACCTATCATTGTGGGTTCGAATCGCCCCGCTTATGTTTCTAGGTTTGTCCTCACCATACCCGTGCTCGTGGGTTTTACCGAAGTGGTAAACGTCTGAGACCTGCATCACTTCGGGCTTTCCTCCCACATTAAGCTGACACGCCGTGATATAACTGGAATAATGTTAAAAGCGGCGTTAAACCCAACTCACTCACGAACGATGTATTAACACTTATTGCCAGTGAGTGATCACGACAAAATCGTGCTTGTGAGAATAGCTCATCAGTATGTATCACAACTGCTTCACAACTGTAACCGCCGCATCACCATTTTCGTCGGCTCGTATAGAATCTTTCATGCATTTCATGGATACAATAATTACCCTGCCCTGGAATTATACTCTGTCTTTACGTGAAAAACGAGAAACAATAACGTATTTATTCAGTTATATTGTTGATAAATAAACTCTAGCTCTAGTGTTCCGATATGCCTGTCATGCTGACACACAACACACAATTACAAAAGAGATAATGTTGTGTTTTGTCAAACATAAACATTAAGCAAACTAGTGCACTTCTTAAGAAAGCAAAGTAAGAAACGATTTTGTTTTCTTCCAGAGTATGGAACGGAATTAGTCTACTGTGATTACCAGAACGTGAAAATGCTCCCCGATTCCTTTTGGAGAACGGCAGATTGCGAGGAATGCGAATGCACCAAGAGCGGGATGTTCTGTGAGGGGTAAGAAAAAAAAGCGCGTTTGTTTTGAGAGCAAGTAAAAGAGGATCATGCTTTATTAGACCCGTGAAGATCCGGGGTAGATAAATGTTCAGCAACCCATGCTTGCCGTGAAGGCGACTATGCTTGTCGTAAGAGGCGACTTTCGGCATCGGGTGTTCAGGCTCGCTGACTTGGTTGATGCTATTCATCGTATCTCAATTGCGTGGATCGATGCTCATGATGCCACTCACTGGATTGCCTGGTCCAGACTCTAGATTATTTAGAGACCACCGTCATATAGCTGGAATATTGCTGAGAGCGGCGATAAACAACAAACAAACATCATGCTTTTTTATGGTTAAATATTCCATATATATATATATATATATATATATATATATATATATATATATATATATATATATATACAAAAATGAGGTCAATGTTCACTCGGTGTACATGTAATATATAATAAAATAATAAAGTCCACGTTAGTCCATCATCTTCTTTATATCAGTTTCATACATAGTACTTTCGCTGTCTCATGACAGCTCTTCAGTGTAACTGACATATACATATAATATATATATAATGTATATGTCAGTTACACTGAAGAGCTGTCATGAGACAGCGAAAGTACTATGTATGAAACTGATATAAAGAAGATGATGGACTAACGTGGACTTTATTATTTTATTATATATATATATATATATATATATATATATATATATATATATATATATATATATATATATATATATATATATATATATAATATATATTTATATATATATATATGTATAGTTTTAAATTGTGTAAAATATATCTAAAATTCGACAAATATAATTTGCTTTTCCTTCGCTTTTATCCAGATTTGGGTTCAATGCTGGTGTGTTTGGGGCACCGACAGGATGTGATGTCGTGAATGATGCATGCGACATAAGGTTGGTGGATGCTCAAGACGACACCAAGGACTGCGAACCTTTCAAACAAGGGCCTCCGCCCCACCTGTTTGCGCCCCCTGAAGGAACATCTTTTAATATGGAAGAAGTACACTTCTGAGGATCTTCTCGCGCCCCTAACGGGACAAGATACAAATAAACTGACATGAAACGTCAGATACGTGTGTTTGGGTTCTTTTGCTATCGATAACTGCATTTGAAGTGTGTGTCAGTAAGTTAGTGATTCAGTCTGTGTATTTTTTACAAAGCCATGCTACATGTATTTAGGGATACAGTAAACTACGGTTATAACGAACACGCTTATAACGAACTGGCGGATATAACGAACTGGTTTTTAGGACCCTGCCATTTGCTGTATATACGCTATATATTTGCTTATATCGAATTACGGTCATAATAACGAACTAGAATTTGTGGTCCCTTTAGTTCGCCATAACCGTAGTTCCCTCACTAGTATTTTTCAAATGATGACACGAGGGCATCGATCCCTGTCCTTATTATGTAAGAACTGTCCCTTTGATCTTGTGAATACAGCCGCTGCAGAAACAGCGGAAAATCAGTGGTTCGATCCCCTGGCACGTCATAATGTTAAAGATGGTGCTTGATGTTACCCTTCCTGACGTTCGAAATTATGGGTATAAAACAAGAACTGTCAGGCTCGGATTCAGTAAACTGTGTCTGAGAAGGATATCCATATCTTTTGCAGTGGGCAAACACTAGAAAACCGGCTTAAGACCGGATCAGTACAAACTGCCACAAAACACGTCCACACACGTCGCTTTTTTATTAAGCAGGCCCATGTAAACTTGGGGGTGGACCGCTCCCGGGGTCTTGTGGTAAAGTGTAGATCCGGGGTTCGATTCCCGGCCGCGTAATACCAAAAGACGTTAAAAGATGGTACTTGTTGTTACACTGCCTGGCGCTCGGTATTAACAAGGACTGATCGGCTCGGAGTCAATATAGCCTGCAACCTCGGGGTATCGCGGTACTTGTCATGTACGCTAAACGGAACAAAATGCACTCACTAACCTTTATGTTTATTCGTGTTCTCTGTATCAGATATCATTCATGTTATCAAACAATGCATATTTTACTGATAAAAGTTCATTATTTACATTAGTAGCTCCGAGTTAAAGCCGGGTCTCGCGCTCTGTTTGACAAGGGAGAGAACTCCATCGTATCGCGGTACAGAGAAAAGTTGTGTATGGAGGTCCGAATTGGACAAAAAGAGGACATAATTCTACCAACCACTTGGTATGATCATGCCAGACATCAGTGATTTGTCCAGACAAGTGCAAAGACAGCACAAGTAAAATTCTAAATGTGTTATCAGCAATAGGTATTCAATGCATATTTACCGAAAAGTAAGAGAAAAATATTGTTATAAGTCAACATCAAAATATCAGAAATGATATTTTAAGATTGTTTAAAAAAATTGGATGACAATAATTTGTCACAAAATTGAAAAATGTTAAAAGTCAACAATAAATATATAAAAAGCACTCCTAGTATGCCCAAAGTATGTATTTATCTTTTGGTTACTAGTGAAGAACGTATTTCTAAGTTTGGCATTATGGCCCTTATGATCTCCCAATAGATTCTGGGCACAGAGCGGGAAAAAATGTGCGGACTACGTAACTTCCGTTACCTCATTAGTCGCCATGAAAATGCAGATGATCTAGTTCAATAGAGAAAGTTTACTTGGGGAACTGCGGGTTTTATCGTTGGCCATTGATAGATGGGGGTAAGGCAATATTACAACAGATGCCAGAAATAAGTATCAACGCATTAATAACTCCTTACTTACAGCAGACGGAACATTCCGAGGAAATTGAAATTGTTTACGAAGTGAGCACTTCCTGGTTACTGATCATGATTTGCATTAATAGACAGCCGCTAAGAGGCGTGTCCCACGTGAACTATCGGAAATCACAAATGCCGCGATACGATGAATGCCGCGGTACCATGGGGTCCGAGTATACTGTGTATGAGTGGGATATCCATTTAGACTGCGGCATGGTATCTCACTAGGCTAGCACAATAATATCGGCATTAGTCAGGACTAGTACAACCAGACACACACACGGTAATGCACGTCGCGACCGCCTCCGTGGTCTAGTTATAGAGCGTCCGCCCGGAGAGCGGACGGTCCGGGATTCGATCCCCGACCGCGTCATACCAAAAAACGTTAAAAGATGGTACTTGTTGTTACCCTGTCTGGCGCTCGGCCAATTAAACCCAATTTCATCTCACCTCACCTAATGCACGTCGCTATATGTGAGTGCAATAATCTTGGACGCGACCTTCAACCCCATTTCACCTTACCACATTTAGAGGTGGATGGTAGGGATGTGGTTACTGAAGTCAAGTGTCTATCGTAGTACAGTAAACTACGGTTATAACGAACTTAAAGGGACTTCTAAGTTTAGTTCGTTATAACCGTAGTTCGTTATAAGTACATATACAGCATGACTACAGCAAGCAGTCGGGACCAAAAAGTAAGTTCGTTATATTATATCCGTCAGTTCGTTATAAGCGTGTTCGTTATAACCGTAGTTTACTGTAATCAGATATACTTTAAGTGCCAGCTTCCCGTATGATTGATTGGTTTATTGTTTACGCCGCACTCAGCAATATTCCAGCTATATGACGGCGGTCTGTAAATAATCGAGTCTGGACCAGACAATCCAGTGACTGATATCATGAGCATCGATCCAGGCAATTGGGATCGATGACATGCAACAACAAAGTCTTTCCGTAATGAGAAAAATACTACTGGTCCTACAGCAACAAAACATACAGTTTTAAACCTCTGAGGGAAACTCACTCACTATATCTATCGAGGGAACGGACAACATAAGCATTAGGTGATCTTCTTTGTATGAACTGGCCGGTTGTGTGTCATCCCGCCGTGAATCGTTGTTCATGCAATCAACCACTGGTTCTGGCATGATTATTTATGTGCCGCCGAGATTTTGCTGGAATATTGCTAATTTCGGCTTGGAAACAACTTTCACTCAAGAATGTATGTTTTTCTTAACATAGGTCGTTCACTGCTGTTATAGTTGTATAAGTACGACATAAAGTATTTGGTCACCTTACGGCGGCGTAATAAGACTAACTTCGTTCACACTGAGACGAGAGTGCCCAAGAAGCTGGATAGATACGTAATTGAACAATTGCGGCGGTTCAAAATAATGTTGATGCAAACAATAAAATATTAATATTTTTTTAAATGTTGATTCAGGGGTTGCCTCTGATTTGACAAATGTAAAAATCATTCGTTTGAAAGCTATCCCACATATTGTTCGACCCGTGAAGATCCGGGTTAGAATTGATCTGCATATTTTGTGGCACGAACTCAAGGCGCTGGACCAAGTGCACAAGTTTTGTGAAGTCACTATTCTCGGACCGTAACACGGGCATGAAACAAACAATAAAGTGTTACGTAAAACGAAGGACTTCACTGAAGGTCAGTTCATCGCCTGCCTCAATGCTTTTTTCGAGGCTTGTGCTATTGTTTAATCACATCTGAGTCAAAGTGGAGTGGTGTGTTTCATTTGATTTGAAAACACAGACAGGCGCCGTCTCATCAGGTGTGTTGTCCTTTCACTCTGCGTCTGTTGTTTAGTTGTCAATGTAGCAAATGATCCTTTGCGTCGTCGGATGATTTTAGGTATCATGACAACATTAAACAAGGGGACGATGTATGTTAATTTAAAGACTAATAAGGTTACACAATGGCAACAGTCTAAACTATGTTTGCTGAAAGTATGATTTGTTATGCTTAATAGAATATACTCTCTAATATTAACAGCTGCAAGTATGTGCTAATCAAAGGGTTAAACAATGTCGGTGTTAACTTGCAGGTAAAGAAGTGTTTGTCGGTTACACTACTTGTTATATTGTATCACAAAATCTAGTCAACTGTGATCCAACAGGAAATAGTTTGAAGAGGTATTTGGCGGAGTTATCACTTCAGTTGTTATTCTTGCTTACAGTATTTTCTCAGATGAGAAATTAAAGACTAATGAGGTTACACATCGACAACAGTCTAAAACTATGTCTTTTGAAATTATCATTTGGTATTCTTACTAGAAGATATTCCCTAACATTTAAAACTTGCACGTATGTACTAATCAAGTGGTCTAATCATACTGGTGTTAACATACACATAAATAGGTGTTTTGATGGTTATTTTTCTTATTATTTTGTACTAAGACTAGTCAGCCATTTGGTAACTTGCGATCTCAATATGCACATATAACGTTAAAATATGTCGTCCAACAAAATTGACAGTTCCTTGGCTGCTGGAATAAGAAAAGATGATAGTACAATATAAGAAAAAAGCTCACAATGTTTTACTTGGATACTTTTATACATGTTTTAATGTACATACGATGTCTCATAAGCCTGTAAAGGCTGGGTGCAATACCGATGATAATTGATTTTTCTGTTTTTATGCAGTATGTATATGTTATTTGCACGTGACATCTTAATAAAATACACTCTCTCTCTCTCTCTCTCTCTCTCTCTCTCTCTCTCTCTCTCTCTCTCTCTCTCTCTCTCTCTCTCTCTCTCTCTCTCTCTCTCTCTCTCTCTCTCTCTCTCTCTCTCTCTCTCTCTCTCTCTGTTAGAGTTGTCACACATTTTGATCCTCATTGGTGGTGGTGGGGTAGGGGTGCCCAGTCGTCTGTATCGCGGCAATATGCAGTGAATAGGTCCCAGAAACCTATGATCGTGGCTACTGATGCAAGATTCGCCCTGATCGTGTGTGTTGACTCTATTTTATACCCGGGTTTCACCGAAGTGGTAAACGTCTGCATTAAATCGGCTTACCTCCGGCCGCCATATAGCGGCGTTAAACAAACAAACAAACAACGGTATCTTCCCAAAACGTAGACCTTCCAAAACGCAGACCCGTTAAAACAACACTCGTTATGGCTGGTTGCATCAGTATTTAGTACCCTGTACCCTTAAGTAAAATGGTATCACCCATGTAACAAGAAAGAAAGCTGGGTAGAGTTCACAATTTTTTATTCAAATGTTATTTCATTGTCATTTATTATTATCAGTTATTTTCACTTGTTTATCATCAGTAGACCAACTGCATCCAGGCACTGAAGGCGTGTCTTTTCACGGCGATGAAGCTGTTC